TATGAATGATGACTAAAATATTTCAACTCAACTTTTAATACGTTAAACTCAATTCAAAATATGTAGTCTAAAAGGGCTGGGGTGACAGTAGGACAACAACAATAACATCGATAATGGTATACAGTGGAGTTAATGAGGGAAAGTTGAAGACAAATGCCTTTTCTATAAGTAGAGAAGCAAATTATACGAATATAGAGCGAATAGGACCCAAATAGTTTGAAATTTTCCTTATAGTAATTTATCACAGTCAAAGGACTAGAACTCTTAAATATCCAACGTTTTCCTCAGTGTTATTCGAGACTTCATTTTAGGCTTTACGTGGTTTCGTCATCTATCTCTCGCACCACAGTTCCGAAGCGAATAATTGTACAAAAAATCGATTGCCCGCTCAGCTGGGTACGTGGTGCGCCAACCTTTCTACACCGTTCATTAAAAAGTCCGTAATCATGGTATAATTGTTAATTTCAAACTCGTGTCTCCATTTGCGATTCTACTTTTGATTTCTCTCGATTGGATCGGGAATTATAAAACATATGGTTGTGTAACGGTTTAAGATTATTCGTATAGTTTCGCTTAGGTGCACAAAACATCGATTATTTCATGTGATGTGTGACGTGGTGTGGCATCCTTCTGAAATCGAATATTCTCAAAGGTTATATATTTGATTTCCTTAAAAAGTCCAATATCATATCTCAATGGTTTATTTCAAACTCACCGGCCCATACAGTTCTCAACAAAAGCTTAAATTTCTGTCATATAAAGCGAAACAAAAAAATCCTAAGGACCCATAATCGATGAAATTTAAGACGTTGTGATCATTCTGCTATACTGTGGGAGGTTTGCCATATATGTCGTCGGTAGTCACCCATTTGGTGTTTAAATGCGCCCAAAATTCAATTTTGATTGCTCCCACTATACCCTGAACACTCCATGAAGGTTCTGTTAGCCTTTAAACACAACTCTGTTACTGGTAATGGCTTGTGTCTCGGATAATAAATTCGAAAATTGACTTCACAAAGAACTTGTATACTACCCGATTTCTGGTGGACACAGACATAAGAAGGAGATCTAAAAGTCTTAAAGATCTGATGATCCCTTAATGAAATAGCAAAGTGGTTGAATTTATGTACTGCTGGATACTAGGCGGACGAGCAATTAGAGGGCATAGACCTATTTATCGGAATAACATGGCAAAACACTATATGGCCGATAGAAGTCATTTGAATCATCATAGGGGTCATATGGCAGTTGACGATTTCTTGCTTCGAGCTTTAACAAAGAACCTTAAGATGTTTTCATTAAGATCGAAATTTTTTGGATGGAGAGGTTATTCAACCATTCTGTTCTTATGCGGTTCTAAGTTTGAAACGCTAGTTGACTATCGTTTGCGGAATTTCACGGATTTATTATAGACGAACGAAGAATAAATGATACTAATGATTACTTTGGCTAGATATTAACTTTCTAGTTAGCAAAAAAGGGATTTTAGTTGTAGTAGCCGATGTAAGTAATATATAATTACGAAGAGACTCTTATTGATATTATGTTATCGGTTTAAGTATCTATTCCCTAATCGTTCTGACTTTAATATATGTCCTGCAAATCGAAAATAGGGATCAACTAAGGTGACTAGTATATACAATAAGAATGTCTTTCGGGTTATGGTTATCAATTGAGGTCGTTCGATCTGTTAATTGACAAATAGACTCTTGATATTATGTTACCAGTTTTAGTTATGATTTTCGAATCGTTCGGTCTACAGTCCTACATATTTAATATCTCGTAGGGTTATTCGATGAAGTATATATGATCCTGAAACCAAGCCATTTTCAAGACTTCGTCTGATCCAAAAATAATAGTATTTCGAGTAATTTATACACTGATGGTCACATTATTGATACATATATAACTCTTCAAAGTTTATATCGATACATTTAAAAGTTGTGCATATCGAAACAGTAAAGGTTATCATATATTTATCACTTTTTATATATACATATATTTTATCTGCTGCAGAAGTTTTCAACTTTTCTCGCATTTAACTCCACTGTATTTTATATGTTTACTATATATTAATATTATATACATTTAGATAATTACTTCAATGATACACTGGGATATAAGCATTTTAAGATATTCTGAAAAATATACACAAATAAAGACATAATTTCAATACTTACATCTGAGTCAAATGAAGTCAATTTACTCAACAAAGCCGATCGCTTCTGAGCCAACATATCCTTAAACATTTCTGTGGTAGATTGGCCATCTTGACTATCGGCTGTGGATAGACGTCTAGAGGGACCAGTATTGCCAGCAACTTGTGTTGGTCCCGATCTATCGGTATGAGTAGAACTTTTACGAGATTCTTGCGGTGAAGCCCATTCACTGCCCAGACCGGAGTGTGAACCATTAGGACTAGAGGGGGAGCGTAAATTTTCCCTACTACCCATAGGACTGGTGGCATGGCTAGAGAGTAAACTAGAAGACATATCACTAGCATCATTGAGTTCTTTACTCCAGTAATGGGTATGAGCAATTTCCATCATTTGAAAAACGGAGGCTGTGCCACCCAAACCAAAATTAGAGAAAGTAACCTCCAGGCCGGAAGTAATGGCCTGTAGACATTTCAGCATACCCTTCCATACCGGTTTGGTGACACACTTTATGTAAGAGAAACAAATAAATGAAGGAATTTTTTCTTTTATTTTGGGATACCTACCATATCATCTATATGATCATCTGGGGCTATTTTCTTATCCAAAGTTTTATTTAATTTACTTAAGACCAAAGTGCGATAGGATTCATCTTCCATTAGTTTCTTAAAACGATTCATTTTCAACCAGCCTATACCTTCACCGGCCAATACCTGATTTGTCATGTCTTTTAGAAAGGCCTGATTTTCAGCATTACTATGTGATCTTTCCTGATTTTGTTGTCTTGTTATTTCTTCTTGGGTTTTATGCGGTCCAGCATGTTTTATTAAAGGTGTTCTTTCTACTAAACCTTTACGTCCTGGGAAGGGATCGAAACCCAAACCTGACTTTGATTTAGGACCCATAGTTTGTTGTGCTGAGACTTGGGGTTGTTTTTGTTGGTTTTCTATAAGATCAAACGAAAATATATATAAGGCATGTATATATAAATTGATCCCTTGTTAATAACTTACTCTTTCCAAACATTCCCGAAAACATGGTGGAAGTTGAGGAGGCCAAACCATTGAAATCACTGCCTATATTAGAAAAGAAATTTCCCGAACCCGTTCCACTGTTTTGTAATTGTTTCTGTGTAGCCAATTGATTGCCTGCTCCTGGACTTGGTGGTTCTGCTTTTTCATCTACTTTGATAAGACCCTTTTTAGTGGCTTCTTCCTTGGCTTTTTTCGTTATATCTCCCAAGGTTGATTTACCCACATAACTTAAATCCTCAAAGGTATTCTTACTAACTCCAGCCGCCTGCTTAGAGACTTCTAAAGCCTGCTTGGATGCTTCCCCGGCTGCTTTCTTAGCATGCAATGTAAGCTGCGAGACGTTTTGAGATTTTAGTTTTTTTAAACATTTTGTATATAATTGCGGTTCTAAATTGATTGGGATATTGTAACGCTAACTACTCAGTACAAAGTGCTTAAAGAATAAAAAATAGTGAATTAACAAAATAAAAATTTTAATTTTCTTAAAGGGTCTGTTAAGATATCAATATATGGATGATCGCAACATGATCGATATGGGATTATAATGGCAAATCATATACATACATAAATGTAATGGAAAAGTCATGTGATTTTTATATTTCAATGGAAACAATGTTCAGTTACAATATGATCGATCATCCATAGAGAAAATGTATTATCAGTGGCAACCGATCGTTGTCGATCGATCGCCTATTGCAAAGAGATTTTTGCTACAGTTTTATTTTCGTCACAACTTTTTGAGAACCGATCGTTAACGATCTTATAATAAAGGGATTAATTTTTAAATCATTTGATCTTTAAGCGATTAATGAATTTGATCTGTAATCTCTTTGATATCTTAACAGGACTCTTAATGTTTAAACAGGGAAGGTAAGAGGAAAGTGTAATTTTGTGTCGAATACTTTTTTGGATAGTGTATAAAGGTGTAAATGAGATTTATCAAAAAATAACATTAAAATTAACAATAATTTTGTTTTCTAATTAAATTTCTAATTTTATAAATGCTTCAACATCTAAGATGTTAGAATATCTAACAAATCCAAATATCAGTGAAACTTCTTAGTGATCTTCCTTAGTAAAGTCGCCCTCCTATCTATGAACATGAAGTTAGTGATAAATACTACATCTTAAATGTATCTCTAAGAAACCATTTATTTGAACCTAAACTATTTATGAGAGATCGTAGATGAATTCTTCTAACTATTGCATATCTTTTAAGTAAATTTCGTTAACCTTTTCAGAAGAATCTTCCTCGCTGGAGTCAGTTTCAACCTTAAATTAAAAACACAATTCAAACATAAAATTTTTGAAAAATTAATCAGAGATATGAATGCATAGAAGACATTATTGATAAAAATTCGATCACAAATTTTTTAAATTTTCTTATTTGAGGAGTTCCCCTGCAAAAATTGAGACTACTCCGCAAACGCGTACTCCTAAAGGACTAGAACTGGTCCAAAACTAATCTACAGATATGGAAAAAGTATACTCCATTTAACATTGTGATGTCCTAGGTGAGGATCACGTAATCCATCAATACATTACATTGGAGTAATCCCAAAACTAGTCCCTTGCTGAAATTATGGGAATACATGATCCGCAATATGTAGGCTATGGACCACTTTGTTTTCAAAAATAATAAACATGATCCATGCTTGCATACGTAGGACTACTATATGGATCATGTACTCCAATAATGTTTACAGACGTGTAGTTTTTGGATTACCTAAATGGACTATGTACTCCAATAATTTTTGCAGGGTTCTGGAGGTTCTTTAGTCGATTTTGAGTTTCTCATAAGATTACAGACTTTATTTTAGATGATTTTAGGTATTTCATATTAAAATTGTATGTTGATGGGGAAAACTACGTGATCATGTTGTTAAGGATCTACTGCCGATTTTAGGATTTAATGAAAAATAGAAGTGATCAAAGATTTTGTTTAGGATATACAGCAGTTTTTAGGTCTTCCATACAATATTTGAATTATGATGAGAAACTAAAGTGATCGCAGATTTTATTACCGATCTACAGCCGATTTTTGGGTTTATTTAAATTGAGGTGATCATACACTTTATTAAGGATCTACAGTCGATTTTAGGTATTTCTTACAAAAATTTAAGTTGAATGATCAAAGATTTTCTTAAGGATCTACGGCTGATTTTAAGTATTTCATGATTTATAAGGAGTGAAGTGATCACATATTTTATTAACGATCTACAGCCGATTTTAGGTTTATTATAAAATAATTGAATTTAGATGATAAATTGAAGTGATCACAAACTTTATTAAGGATCCAAAGCCGATTTTGGGTATTTCATACAAACATTTAAGTTAAAGTGATCACAGATTTCGTTAAGTATTTTTGGTATTTCATACATGAATTTAATTATGATGAGAAACTAAAGTGATCGCAGATTTTATTAACGATCTACAGCCGATTTTAGGTTTATCGTACAATAATTGAATTGTAATGAAAAATTGAAGTGATCACAGATTTTATTAAGGATCTACAGCCAATTATAAGATTTCCATACAAAAATTTTATTTTGATGTGTAATTGAAATGATCACTGACATTATTAGGGATCAACTGCTGATTTAGATATTTTATAAAAACATTTTGTTTTGAAAATTAAAGTGATCATCGATTTTTTTGTTTACGTATTTTATGGAAAATTTAAGAGATCACAGATTTTAATAAGGATCATTTAAGTTAAAGTGATCACAGATTTCGTTAAGTATTTTTGGTATTTCATACATGAATTTAATTATGATGAGAAACTAAAGTGATCGCAGATTTTATTAACGATCTACAGCCGATTTTAGGTTTATCGTACAATAATTGAATTGTAATGAAAAATTGAAGTGATCACAGATTTTATTAAGGATCTACAGCCAATTATAAGATTTCCATACAAAAATTTTATTTTGATGTGTAATTGAAATGATCACTGACATTATTAGGGATCAACTGCTGATTTTAGGTATTTTATAAAAACATTTTGTTTTGAAAATTAAAGTGATCATCGATTTTTTTGTTTACGTATTTTATGGAAGATTTAAGAGATCACAGATTTTAATAAGGATCTTCAGCCGATTTAAGATCAGTATCATATAATTTAATTTAAAGGCTCCATTTTTCATAAATACTCAATTCTTTAAAAGAGATCTTGCTACATTTAATGGAGCATTGTTTAATTTTACCAAAAAAAAAAAAAACGAACATAAATTTAAAGTGTTAAATTTTGCTTGAACCAATTGTTTATTTTTTTAATAAATATAAAAACTACTAAAAGTGTTTTAAATAGCAACTAAAATATATAATTTGTTAAGAAACCCCGTTGGATTATAGTTTATTAAATACATATATATTCAGGGTATTAACAGTAGTTCAGCAAAGATTGGCAACACTATTACAAACCTTTTCGAATGTATGACGCATTTTGTCATCAATATCTTCATCCAAAGATTGCTAAAATATTTATTGATTTGTTTGATTTTAAACATAGTTTTCTTTTAAAGTATTTAAGTTTACAGTGTAATAAGTGTTTTTGTTTAAAAAGAGGGGTTTTTTCATAATGTTTTAAAGAAAATATTTAAATTAAATTTTTAAGATCAAACTTAAAAAAACATCAACACAACATTTATTTAGTTGACATTATTTTTTTTTGGAGAAAGTGGGGAAACACTTACCTTGTCCATGTGAGCCAATATGCCCTCCTGGCTACTTTGTCGGGTAGTTTCTCTTACTAAATCCTTGGCATGTGAAGCAATATTTTCAAATAGTGAGGACTGTGAGGATTGACGTCCTGGGCTGCTGGAACTGGAACCAGAGCTACCAGTACGAGCCAAGATATTAGTGACACTGGGCTGTTTAACGGGCGTAATGGGAGGCTAAATTTGTGAGAAAAGTTATATGACAGCAAGAGTTTAGAAGTGAATTCTGTTTCAAAAACTTACCGGTATTTTCTTTTCCGTTACATGCCGATTTTCTTGATCTCTCGGCGTCCTCTGATGACCTTGAGGTGCGGTAATTGTTATATTAGAATTAGTTTCCGATTCCTGTTCCAAACTGGCCGCCTTAATGGTGGCATCTAGTCTTTGAGCCACTGGTGCAGCCAACTCAAATGGTTTGGCGGGAAAATCAAATTCCGAATCACGATTAAAACTAGGCGAGGACAAGTCGGAACGACTAGATGAGGCTGATGACATGGGCGACTCTGGACGATCATCTTCATCCTCTTTGGAAGACATTTGTTCCACCATACCCTCGGGATATTGTAGCTTACTAGGAGGATGATACACCAATGCTGGATCTAAATTAGAAGACAATGTCTGAGGAACATTATGAGGACGATTGTGTGAGCCAAAAACATCATGTAAACTAGGCGAAAGATCAGATGAAACCATTTCCGAAACAAAATCACTCAAAGAGGAATAAGAAGAACTCGAACTATCGGCCCCCTCGGAATCAGAACCACTCTCATCGGTGGCAGCACATTCCAATTGTTTGAGTGAACGTAAAGCACCATTTAAGGAACTGCCATCATCCCAAACGGAAAAACGTATAGGTGTTAAACCATGAGCAAACCATTTGGGTTTATCGCCAACTTGTAAAGGATCCATAACACCAGTTTGTACTCTAAGAAAGGCTACATTTGTGGGTGTCAGAGACCATTCAGCTAAAAATTCTACAGCCTGAGTCTTGGCAAACTGATTGAGGAACGATGAAGCGCGAGGTCGTGAGCGTAAAAAGCTATTAATTTGAAAGGCCACCACAGGACGAGGATATAAGCGTAGCGTACGAGTGTGTTCAGCAAAGTTGGCCAAAGTATTTTGGGAGTTAAAGAAACGCACCTGAACAAAAAGGGCAAATAAATGTAATAGTTTATTTTTAAAACAAACTCTAAAACTTACCATGGCTACTCTGGTGGCCACATCTACCGAATCGACATCGGTGCCATATATAAAAGGATTTAAGGCCGGTGAATTCATGGGACTGGGCTGTCGTGACATGGCTCCCTGAGTAGACACCGAATTTCTTTGACTAGTATAAGCCGATTGAGAGGGTGACTGTAAGGGTAATCTGGCCTGTGAGACCCTATATAAAAAAGATAATAATTTTAATTTGAGATTTATAAAGTTTTCTTTCAAATCCCTTTAACTTACCCCAATAAAGTGGGCTCTGTTAAACTATCCCTTACCGAGGGCATTAGTTGTTGTGTTGATATTGCTTGATTTGAAGCAGTCATGGAACTTAAAGCCTATTTGATTTGAAAATATTAAACATTAATTGGGAAATTTTTGAATAATTTTCTTAAACTGAAAACTTTTGTTAGAGGTTTGGTATTTTGTAACCAATTGTTATTTCTTTACATATATAGAATGTGGGAAGTAGTATGATTTTTTTTGAAAGGATTTTACAAATGTACAACATGTAGTGATAACAGTCGTCATGTATGATTTATGCTTTTTTAGTTATGATCTATATTTTTCTTAATATTTTGATTATGAATTTGATATTTGATGACTGTTATTAGTACAATTGTGGTGCTTTGGAACTTAAATTGTAAAAAAGCTTTGGAAATTAAAAATCATAAAAAGCTTAAGAAATAAAAATTCATGCAATAATTAGTAAAACTTTGTGTATATTTTTCTAAGGTAGAGAGAGAGAGAGGGTTGTTTCCAAGAAACACTTAAAGAAAGATCCTCACTCTGACTAACTTATGCAAGGCTTATTTATCATTCAAATCATATCATGTATGATCTCAAGGTTTCGCCTCTCAGGAATCACAATGGTTTACGAGATTTCCGAAATTTTGGGTGGGACTGTTTTTGGAGTATTATATTCTAATCAATTATAGGTGTCTCTATTCCTTTACAATGATTATTATAAAAGGAATAATCAAAAAAGAGGTCGAAATAATTTCTCTGCCATTTGACCTTCTGAATAAATGCGATCTTAAATTTACCGGGAAAAAGTGGAATTTTTAATCAACTTTAACTAGTTTATTATACCCTCTACCAACTCTACAAATTATATTGTATGTATTTTCCGGGTCCTTAGGAAATTCTTAGTCGATTTATCTATGAAAGCAACAGAAATGAATGAAATTTATCAAAAAAATTCAGTATTGTTCTCAGCGGATTGGTATTAAAAATCACTCAAATCGGTCCACTACGTAAAAGTAATGAGTAATAATTTCAGAGAACCCCGAAAAATTAGATATTTTTAACTCCATATTCCAATAGTGTTTTCAGAAACTAGAGCTGATAATTACAAAAAATAGGTTAAAATTTCCTACAGTCCCCATACAACTATAAATATTACCGGCAAATTAGATTTATCGTCAATTACATCAAAATTGTATTCATATAAATCTAACATCAACAGAAAGCATATCACCAATCTAGATCTGAATCGGTCCATTATATTTCGTAGCTCCTATAAAAGGTCCACTTCTGAAAATTATTTAAAAGCTCAAAATTACATAATTGAGATGATATTTGTCAAAAAACAAATCGTTTCAGGAATTTTTTCAGATTGCTGTATTATTGATCGTAGCTCCCATATAAGGTCCTCTTCCGAAAGTATGTGAAACACACATAATTCATTAATAACTAAAAGTATCGATATTAAATTCACCATTAACAAGGTTTTGCATATTTATGTATAAATCATTTAGGATATTTTTCCGGATTAGTCTATTATTGATCAAGGTCCATTTCCGAAAATCACTTAAAAACACACATTTCATTAATTAATAACGATTAATTAATATACATATTATGATAACAGTATATAATTTGGCAGTCCAAAGTTTTCCCTGATTTGCTCATAACTGATCATTGATCTCATTAAAGGGATCTTCTATAACTGGGACTGTTGTCCGTATGTGAGCGTTTCTGTTGAAGACACAAAAAGGCCTAAAGAGTGGGCTGAAATTTCACACACATTTTCTTTTGATTTAGGGTATTTAATATTGAAAATTGAACCGAACAACATTATACAATCTATTAAGCGAGAATAATGTAATTTGTTCGTTTGGATCTTAGGAACATAGTTTAAATCTTTTAAAAGTGATCGTAGATTAAGGACCTTTCCTCTGCGATTTTTAAAGTATTAGGTTAGTAAAATTAAATTTTAAACATAAATAATTAAGCTGCTACAAATAATTTTAAATAATTAAGCTAATTAACATAAACTTTTTAAATATATTTATATATAAAACTTAAAAAACATGCCAACTAAACTTTTAAACATTTAGATATGAGGGCAAAAAAGTTAAATGAAAACTAGAAAGAAAATCAAATAAATATTTACACCAAGTCCAGCTTCATCCATAAGTTGCATAGCCTGTGTTTTTAGATATTTTTTTTATTATAAGATGAACGAAAGTATTTCATTGATTTGAATATATTTTTTGTTTAAAATGATGACAATGTAGTTGTTGTTAGTTATCGTTAAAAAGTAGAAAGAGAGAGCATGATATTTAATAAATAATTTGAAAGAAAATAAAGCAATAAGAAGTTTTAGAAGAGGTAAAATAACCAAAAATAATTGGTAAATTATATTTAACATAATTCAAGTGCTTTTATAAAAAAATACTGTACAAAATATTAAAACTCCTGAGAGTTATTAATGAATTTTTCGAAACAATAATGACAATGAGAAAATGAATGTTTATATTCGTATAACTAAGTATAGAGAGAGAAAGTTTTAGATGTAACACTGAAAGCTTTTTGTTGTCGAGAGAGTTAGAGAAAACATTTATGTTTGAAATTTACAATTTAAGTGTAAGTTTTCTTAACAATTATTTTTTTAATCGAATTAAATTTGGAAAAAATTTTTAATTAAAAAGAAAAGCTTTAGCCAATATTTCTTTAAAAAATATATATTTTTAAAATCTATTTCAAAATACAAAAGTTTTGCGTTCACATACCTGTTTCAAATGATTTTTCAAAACTGTGCCTTCTGGTTCGGGAAGCGGAGGTATTTCATCATAGCCGCCAGTAGGAGGAGTTAGTTTTGTAGAATCCAAATCCACCACCCAAATATCATCGGGCAAGCTGTAGATATTTAAATGTTAATAGGAAATATTTATTTCTATAGTTTATGGAATACCAACCGGAAATTCTTTTTATACATTAAAAATGTGGCCGGTACACCAATAACAAACGGTGTGGGAGCCAACAGCAATTGTTCAGCACAACTCAAACATGTGGGCAGTAGCGGTATCACCGGAAACATATATTCCAAAGGATATAACATTGTGACAAACGCCATTACCGACATGGAGAGTGCATTATAGTCACGAGATTGAAACAACACCTTGTTCTCCAACATAATTAAAGTCCAAACCTTTAAGCAGGTCTCTACGCCCAACAACTCCAAAGGCAAATGTAAAGGAAAGTCAACTAAGGAAAATCTAGTATGATCGGGCAAAGCGAACAGTAAAGGTTCATGGACTGTGGGAGATAGTACCTCCACCTAAGAAAAATTATATATAAAATAAAACAAATTTGAATTTTTACAAAAAATTTCCAACACACACCTCAACTCTTGTTGAACCCGGCACTGGTACCGGTGTGGATAACAATCTCAATATCCAGGTTTCAATTTCTTTAACATCATGTAGCACTATAGAAGAAGTCGCCTCACTAGCATGACCCGTTAATACGGTCCACACATTATCTCGATTATTTTTCTGTGATGCCCCCACCCTCTTGGGTGAGGAGGATTCATTACAGGCATCTATTAACTTCTTCAATATAAATAAACATTCACGAAATGTGGTGAAGAAAGGATGATGTGATATTATGCACAATGAAGTCAATGATTGATTTCTTAATTTTGTACGTTTCCTAGAGGCCCGCGGTGAGGGTGAATGACTGCCACCCGATTCGGAATCAGCTGAAGGTGCCATTAGACCCAATTTCGGCACCTGTTGCATATTGTGACCATGATGTGATACATGATGTTGGGTATCGGAATCTCTACGAGAAGTCATTTCACGATCAGAATCACTTGGTGCGACGTTACTTCTGTAGTCGCTAGAAGAAGTTAGAAGGCCGTAACTATTAAGAGAATTATATCAATTGTACTTTAAAGGCATTTTAGCGTAACCCAAAAATTATCTAAATACTACGACTACAACTCAAAATTTAAAAAGAAAAACTCAAAATTAAGCTTAAGCATTTTGTTTTTAATCTTAATCTCTACTTGCCTACTAAATGCCGAATCTGAACTTCGCTCCATACTTTTTCGCCATGATTCTCGGCGAAATGCCGAACTTCTACGACCCCGTGTACTTTGGGCTGTCGCTGGTGTGTTGTGAGTTTGGGCTTTCTCCACATTGGGCGTATGTTTCTCTACGGGTCTATAGAAATTAACACATATACCGTATCGCGTCTTTCCGGAATCTTTATCGGTTAAGGCGAATACAAATGATGTCATATCTCGAATGGCTGAGCCAGTTCTTCGAGGACCAACACTGGTACAACCTTCGGGTTGACAAAAATATACCATATCGAGAGGTAAGGGAAAATCGGCATGATCCGAGGGTGGATAACGTCTTAAAAGTTCGGGGATCTAGAAAAGAGATAGAATTTGATGTGAGATATTTTTGAAATATTTTAAGTTAAATAAAAAGTTATTGTTTAGTTCTAGTTCAGTTCTAGTTCAGTCCTAGTTCAGTTCTAGTTCAGTTCTAGTTCAGTTCTAGTTCAGTTTTAGTTCCGTTCTAGTTCAGTTTTAGTTCAGTTCTAGTTCAGTTCTAGTTCAGTTCTAGTTCAGTTCTAGTTCAGTTCTAGTTCAGTTCTAGTTCAGTTCTAGTTCAGTTCTAGTTCAGTTCTAGTTCAGTTCTAGTTCAAGTTCTAGTTCAGTTCTAGTTTCAGTTCTAGTTCAGTTCTAGTTCTAGTTCAGTTCTAGTTCAGTTCTAGTTCTAGTTCTAGTTCAGTTCTAGTTCAGTTCTAGTTCAGTTCTAGTTTCAGTTCTAGTTCAGTTCTAGTTCAGTTCTAGTTCAGTTCTAGTTCAGTTCTAGTTCAGTTCTTAGCTCAGTTTAGTTCAGTTTTAGTTCAGTTTTAGTTCAGTTTTAGTTCAGTTTAGTTCTAGGTCAGTCCTAGTTCAGTCTAGTTCAGTTCTAGTTCAGTTCTAGTTCAGTTCTAGTTCAGTTCTAGTTCAGTTCTAGTTCAGTTCTAGTTTCAGTTCTAGTTCAGTTCTAGTTCAGTTCTAGTCAGTTCTAGTTCAGTTCTAGTTCAGTTCTAGTTCAGTTCTAGTTCAGTTCTAGTTCAGTTTAGTTCAGTTCTAGTTCAGTTCTAGTTCAGTTCTAGTTCAGTTCTAGTTTCAGTTCTAGTTCAGTTCTAGTTCAGTTCTAGTTCAGTTCTAGTTCAGTTCTAGTTCAGTTCTAGTTCAGTTCTAGTTCAGTTCTAGTTCAGTTCTAGTTCAGTTCTAGTTCAGTTCTAGTTCAGTTCTAGTTCAGTTCTAGTTCAGTTTCTAGTTCAGTTCTAGTTCAGTTTTAGTTCAGTTCTAGTTCAGTTCTAGTTCAGTTCTAGTTCAGTTCTAGTTCAGTTCTAGTTCAGTTCTAGTTCAGTTCTAGTTCCATTCTAGTTCAGTTCTAGTTCAGTTCTAGTTCAGTTCTAGTTCAGTTCTAGTTCAGTTCTAGTTCCGTTCAGTTCTAGTTCAGTTCTAGTTCTAGTTCAGTTCTAGTTCAGTTCTAGTTCTAGTTCAGTTCTAGTTCAGTTCTAGTTCAGTTCTAGTTCAGTTCTAGTTCAGTTCTAGTTCAGTTCTAGTTCAGTTCTAGTTCAGTTCTAGTTCAGTTCTAGTTCAGTTCTAGTTCAGTTCTAGTTCAGTTCTAGTTCAGTTCTAGTTCAGTTCTAGTTCTAGTTCAGTTCTAGTCAGTTCTAGTTCAGTTTTAGTTCAGTTTTAGTTCAGTTTTAGTTCAGTCCTAGTTCAGTTCTAGTTCAGTTCTAGTTCAGTTCTAGTTCAGTTCTAGTTCAGTTCTAGTTCAGTTCTAGTTCAGTTCTAGTTCAGTTCTAGTTCAGTTCTAGTTCAGTTCTAGTTCAGTTCTAGTTCAGTTCTAGTTCAGTTCTAGTTCAGTTCTAGTTCAGTTCCAGTTTTATATCAATTCTAGTTCAGTTCAAGTTCTAGTTCAGTTCTAGTATAGTTATATTTCAGACCTAATTTCAGGTAACTTATAGTTCAATTAAAAGTGATTTAGTGTCATAACCTTTAAAATGACCTTTAATTTATAAATGGTTTTATATTAAACATATTATTTCAGTGCACCATTGTTGTTCTATTTGTAATCTCTGCAGCCCTCAAAGACTACCAAACGGACATGATTTTTTGTTTCCTTTTTTGTCTACTAAGTAATTTGTAATACTTACTTGTACAGGTGGTGTCTTATTTCCTGGTAATCCCTTGTGTATTGGTGGTGTTGTTCGAGCACCCACAATTGCCAAATAGTCCACTAAACGTGGACACAACGATAGCTTCTGTTGTTCGGCCATAATTGATGATTTTGTTTTGCTTTTTTATAGATTTGTTATCTATTACTTGCTATTGTCTTCTTTTTAAAACAACTTTTGTTTATGTTGAAAATTTCAACATGAATTTTCAATTCATTATTGCCTTTATGTTACAGATGGATTTTTGCTGTAAATAAAGAGAGAAAAAAAATATTGTTACTAAGACAAACGTTGTTGCTAAAAGCTTAATAATGTTAATCTAATTTAGTATTATGAGTTTTTAAATTCAAGACACATGTTTCTCTTTTTCCCATTTTACTTAGACCCAGACACACACTGGGTGTCAAATGTAAGCAACAACTGTATATATCGTATTGAATTTGGCTCCTTAGGGTTTTAATTAAATGATTATTATTCACTTAAAGAAACATGTAACGAAATACAACACAAAGTAATATGTTGCTTTTTTCCCATTCTAACCGCTTTTAGTTTACAAACAGTGCACAGTGGTTTTCGATTATAGTTTGGGATTAATATTAAAATTGATTTCGAATTAATTGAAATTAAAATAATGGAAAATGGATGGGGTACTGTGGTACTTTTGATAATAAGAACAAGAGTCGGAATTACGCTTGTTCTTTAAGAAAAATTCATTATAAGTTGAAAGTAGAGAATTCATCGTAAAGATTGAACTCGAACTAAACTAGAACTGAACTAACTGAAACTAGAACAGAACTAGAACAGAACTAGCACAGAACTAGAACAGAACTAGAACTGAACTAGAACTGAACTAGAACTGAACTAATGAACTAGAACTAGAACTGAACTAGAACTGAACTAGAACTGAACTAGAACTGAACTAGACTGAACTAGACTGACTAGAACTGAACTAGAACTGAACTAGAACTGAACTAGAACTGAACTAAAACTGAACTAGAACTGAACTAGAACTGAACTAGAACTGAACTAGAACTGAACTAGAACTAACTAGAACTGAACTAGAACTGAACTAGAACTGAACTAGAACTGAACTAGAAGAACTAGAACTGAACTAGAACTGAACTAGAACTGAACTAGAACTGAACTAGAACTGAACTAGAACTGAACTAGAACTGAACTAGAACTGAACTAGAACTGAACTAGAACTGAACTAGAACTGAACTAGAACTGAACTAGAACTGAACTAGAACTGAACTAGAACTGAACTAGAACTGAACTAGAACTGAACTAGAACTGAACTAGAACTGAACTAGAACTGAACTAGAACTGAACTAGAACTGAACTAGAACTGAACTAGAACTGAACTAGAACTGAACTAGAACTGAACTAGAACTGAACTAGAACTGAACTAGAACTGAACTAGAACTGAACTAGAACTGAACTAGAACTGAACTAGAACTGAACTAGAACTGAACTAGAACTAGAACTGACTAGAACTGAACTAGAACTGAACTAGAACTGAACTAGAACTGAACTAGAACTGAACTAGAACTGAACTAGAACTGAACTAGAACTGAACTAGAACTGAACTAGAAACTGAACTAGACTACTAGAACTGAACTAGAACTGACTAGAACTGAACTAGAACTGAACTAACTGAACTAGAATGAACTAGAACTGAACTAGAACTGAACTGAGAACTGAACTAGAACTGAACTAGAACTGAACTAGAACTGAACTAGAACTGAACTAGAACTGAACTAGAACTGAACTAGACTGAACTAGAACTGAACTAGAACTGAACTAGAACTGAACTAGAACTGAACTAGACTGAACTAGAAACTGAACTAGAACTGAAACTAGAACTGAACTAGAACTGAACTAGAACTGAACTAGAACTGAACTACTGAACTAGACTGAACTAGAACTGAACTAGAACTGAACTAGAACTGAACTAGAACTGAACTAGAACTGAACTAGAACTGAACTAGAACTGAACTAGAACTGAACTAGAACTGAACTAGAACTGAACTAGAACTGACTAGAACTAGAAACTGAACTAGAACTGAACTAGAACTGAACTAGAACTGAACTAGAACTGAACTAGAACTGAACTAGAACTGAACTAGAACTGAACTAGAACTGAACTAGAACTGAACTAGAACTGAACTAGAACTGAACTAGAACTGAACTAGAACTGAACTAGAACTGAACTAGAACTGACCATAACTTAAGCAAAACTTCAGTGAAGGAAGAACTAAGAGTTAAAAAATCGGTATATATCAAAAAATGGTCACACATAGAAGGTTCACATAAATTACACACATGAATGTTTGTACAATGTGTAACTTTAGAAATCAAGTTTATTAAAAATTTTGCTCTCAATTTAACTTAAAGCCAAGAGTTTCTAATTGTTTAACAATTTCATGGCAAAACTTTTATTTAAAGGAGCAACAAATAATTAAGAACAACAACTGTTAGCTATTTAGTTGGAAAATTCTGCTAATAAAGAGGGAGATATAGAGTGGAGAAGAAAATCCAATATAATATTGATTGTTAAACATGTTTGAAACTAAAACTTATTCATGTGTAAAACACGCGTTGTACACATTGTTTATTTATATAGTTAATAAATAGACTTGTACTTGCACTTGTACGCAACGCACTCTCAACTCAAACTCTTTTCTAAGCCATAAGCCAACCAGCAAGACGAGCAATAAAACAGCCAGTCAGCCAGTCATATACGTATCCAACCATTAACTAATTCAATATAACCAAGAACAACAATAAACAACAACCTAGAACTAAACTTAAGTATATGAGTATAAAAGAACGATTGTTTTCTGTGTGTAGATTAAGGGAGTCTTGTAAATTGATGTTAAGAGGGGATTTGAAGTCTTGATCTTAGACTTAGTTATATTCCAATTTGATTTCTAAATCTATCCTTAAAATGCAGTTCCAGCTTACTTTTAAATAAGTTGTAGTTTAGGTAAGTTCTAGTTAGGTTTTGTTTTGTTCTCAGCTCAGATATCTGTCTAAATACCTTCAAGTGACACCCAAGTACAATATACTATACTAGGTATTCATAGTACATTTACTTTACTTTGTAACTAAGTGTGTATGCGTGTATGTTTACCCACTCTCACAAATTCTCCAAACAAATCAATAAACATTTTATATAAATATGTTATATTGGATATTTGAGTACTTACTTGTACACAGAAAAAATTAATTTTAAAAAATTTTCAATTAAACGATTAATCGAAAATTTTAAAAAGGGTTCAATTCATTTTGTATTTGAATCATAAAAATGTATAATCAAATACGTATTTAACAACAACAAAAATATAAAAAAATAAAAATTTTTTATACGAAATCAATTATAAGTAGTAATTGAATATACAATTTTTGTTATAGGTTGAACTTCAATAAATAAAATAATTGAAAACGAGGTTTTGGTAATTGAAATCGTTTTTCAGTTTTTTCTGTGTACATAATGATATATACATATACATATTAGGGTGGTGCCAATTGGAAGTTACTGATGTTGCGAAGAAAATGCAATTTTTTTAATTGTTCTCAAACTTTTTTGTCCTGACCTATGAATATGAAATCATTCCTTTGCATGAAAAAATTATAAAAATCTGATAAAAGGATCTGTCTATTCTTTGGCCCAGCTTACTAATATTGACCTCAGGATTCAAATTTTGAGAAATGATATCTTATAATGGACGAAGCGTTTATTTCATCATTATCTTATGTTTTTTTTTATTAACGAAGGGGACGCCCTAATGTATATGTAAGTCCAATAAATTATTGTACCACATACTGTGTGTGTGTTCAATTGTGAATTACATAAAGGAAATGGAAATCTAAGTGTGTGTTTGTGTATAAGTGTATTCCTGTAATACATATACACATAGTAATATACAACAACAATAATACTTTATTAAAATTGAAATAACTGAATTACGTATACGCACTGTTGATTATTGCATATGATGTAAAAGTGTTGTAACAGAATTAAAAACACTATGTGTAGATTGTTGCATCTACATACATACATATGTATTTGTGTCACAAACAGAAATTTAAGCAAACTTAAATTTAATGTTAAGAAATAAAAGTAAAAAAAATTTAGTTATATTTTATATCGATAGTATTTCAAATGTAATCACTTACAAAGTGCACAACACATTTTAATATTAATGTATAACCTTACCTCTCATAATATGCATATCTAATAGATTTACTTAAGTCATCCATATCCTAAGGAACATACGACACATTTAGATTACAACAATTACCTACAACTAAAATGTGTTACACATTCACTCATAGATTTACATAATGTTAACAGTAAACTTAAAGAAATAAAATCCAGTATGTAACCTTAAATACCAGTGACCTTAAGCAATACCTTAAGTTAATGTTAATATCACTTTTTAATACCCACTGGTTATGAGTTGTATGCAATGCGGATGCCCCGCATTAGATAATGGTAACATACAAATAATATATATTTTTGTATTCCCCCTTTATTTCGAAAAATTAATGTTAACAACATGTATAACGTAAATGTTTACTCAAGTAAGGCAAGTAGGCCGACCTTAATGACAGACGATGCGGAAGTTCTAAAATTGAGCAAAAGTTCAATAAAATTGCAGTCAATTAGAAAATACTTATGGAGGAGAATATTAAAAAATATTTCAAAAATTATTTGAAAAATGCTTTCTTTGGAGAAAAATTTTAATAATGTTCTGTTAGCAGTACTAGTTAGTTCTAGTTCAGTTCTAGTTCAGTTTTCTAGTTCAGTTCTAGTTCAGTTCTAGTTCAGTTCTAGTTCAGTTCTAGTTCAGTTCTAGTTCAGTTCTAGTTCAGTTCTAGTTCAGTTCTAGTTCAGTTCTAGTTCAGTTCTAGTTCAGTTCTAGTTCAGTTCTAGTTCAGTTCTAGTTCAGTTCTAGTTTTTTCTAGTTCAGTTCTAGTTCAGTTCTAGTTCAGTTTCTAGTTCAGTTCTAGTTCAGTTCTAGTTCAGTTCTAGTTCAGTTCTAGTTCAGTTCTAGTTCAGTTCTAGTTCAGTTCTAGTTCAGTTCTAGTTCAGTTCTAGTTCAGTTCTAGTTCAGTTCTAGTTCAGTTCTAGTTCAGTTCTAGTTCAGTTCTAGTTCAGTTCTAGTTCAGTTCTAGTTTCAGTTCTAGTTCAGTTCTAGTTCAGTTCTAGTTCAGTTCTAGTTCAGTTCTAGTTCAGTTCTAGTTCATTCTAGTTCAGTTCTAGTTCAGTCTAGTCAGTTCTAGTAGTAGTTCAGTTCTAGTTCAGTTCTAGTTCAGTTCTAGTTCAGTCTAGTTCAGTTCTAGTTCAGTTCTAGTTCAGTTCTAGTTCAGTTCTAGTTCAGTTCTAGTTC